TTTGTATGTTTCGACAATATATAAGGACATACAAAAAACAAGATAAACAAAATGAATTGTGATGGCTCGAAGAAAGAAACTCAATGAGCGCCAAGTTGGGGAGATCGTCGCTCGTCGTGCCCACGGGGAGTCGCTTCGCCAAATTGCCAGCCAAGTTGGGTGTACAAGACAGCCATAGCCACGATGCTGCGCGACCCTGCAGGTTATGCCACCCCGAGCCCAACGGGTCGCAACCCGAAGCTAACCGACCGCACAAAGGCGGCGATTCTGCGAGAAGCGTCTAAAGGCCAAAGTAGTGCTTCTGAGATTCTCCAGCACCTGCAACTAGATGTACATGTGCGTACCGTTCAGCGACTTCTCCAGAACACGGAACACTGAGAGCACGTCTTCCGTGTTGCAACCTCACTGCTAACGGCCGCCCACAAAGCAGTGTGTCTCAAGTGGGCAGAGACCTACGTCACCATGGACGAAGGCTGGAAACATGTTGTCTTTTCGGATGAGAAAAAAATCAACCTCGATGGCCCGGATGGTTACCAGAAGTACTGGCATGACAAGCGGCACCCCAAGCAGCAGCGAATGAACCGCCAAAACGGCGGCGGCATCGTCATGATCTGGGCAGCCTTTTCATGGTTAGGCAAGAGTCGCGTTGTTCTGTTGCAAGGTCGTCAGGACTCGGAGGCATACGTTCACACGTTGTCGGAGTTCCTCTTTCCGTTTGCCCACCTCCATCATGGTACTCACTTCATCTTTCAGCAGGATAATGCTAGCATTCATAGCTCGCATGCAACAAAAGCATTTTTGGAAGAACACGATGTTAGTGTTTTACCCTGGCCTGCCTTTTCGCCGGATCTGAATCCGGTCGAGAATGTTTGGGCGTGTTTGTCGCGCAAGGTGTACGATAATGGGCGGCGCCAGTTCAGTTCAAGGCGTGATCTCATGTGTCAGATCACTTTGTCCTGGGACGAGATCGATCAGTCATATCTCGAAAAGTTGGTGACCTCAATGGCATCTCGGTGCCTTGCGGTGCATGCATGCCATGGTGACAAAACTAAGTACTGATTTTGTCTATCTTGTTTTTTGTATGTCCTTATATATTGTCGCAACATACAAACATGTGAATGGTTGATACTTCTTGGCAACCATGAATTTGGTTGTTCTGCAATGTGCTACGAATCTGCCACACTGCCCTGAGCAGCATATCTAAAAGTCAGCTGACTTTGCTCATTTTTGACCTCGTGGCGAAAACCCCCCCACTTTTTATCCACTTTCCTTTCTATTTTCTCGCGCACTGTAGCAAGTTTACGCTTGGTAACTTCGCAATCATTGTTTTCCAGTAGAAGCGTTTGGCCCAGACGGGTATGCGATGGACGACACTCTCAGGTACTAGGTAAGCCAGAGCTCAGTGCAAGCTTTGACGCATGCATTATAGGCTACTATACTGTAGTCGGTGTCATCCGTGCGCCTTGCCTTGCGCGAGAAGGCGCCACTCCCGTACCGGCATCCTTGGATTTCTATAGTCGGTGCCTTGCCTTGCGCGAGAAGGCGCTACTCCCGCGCCGGCATCCTAGGATTTCCAAATAGATTATCTTTATTTACTGTATAGGGATAATCACAGACACTCTGTAATTTGCAGCCAAGGATCGTGGAAGCCTTCCAGTGGAGCACTGCACTTGACCATTGGAGAGCTTTCTGTGCATTTAGGCTTCAGTAGTCTCAGTAAACCCAATGCATTTTATGACTAGGTAATTTATAGCCATACTATACGAGAAATGAGACAGAATCGTCGTCAAGCAACCCCCAGAGAAGATTTCGTGGAATCGCCCATGTCGCGGGACGCGGCGCAGGACAGCCTATTATAATGGTTCAGTTGTGGGAAGTGCTGGTGTGGTGGACACAAAGGGCACGACTGCCCCACCTCGGCAGGCCCTAGAAATGGCCGAGGTAGCGTAAAGTTAGTGTATTTGTGTGATGGTGGAGGTATTGTCATTGCCCTTCTTAGACATCAAAGTCAAGACACGCCCATGATGCTCATAATTGTGCTCAGTATTAATACGATATTCATACTACCGGTAGAACGGAACAGCGTCTTCTCGTACAGTGAACTGGGAAAGAACTCGACACAGTTGCACACAACAATATATAAGAGTTTGCAAGCCACACATCGAGACAAGTTCGAATATTATTTTGTCATACAACACTCGTCTGATAAAATACGAAAAATTCAACTGATGTGATTAGCCACAGCATCACAAAAATATTCAAATTTCCACAACTGAGTCCACAGGACTCCAGAACAAACCCATACAAAATCCAACATAACAAATACTTTACTTAAACAAAAACAAAATCCACCAACAGGTAGCCAAAGATCAAAGGAGTCAAGTGCAACAGTCAAAAACCATTAAATCCTCACCGTTTGCCCAATAAACTCAAATAAAGTACTACCTCCAGACGGAAATATAAGTCCCTTTTGGTGAAAATTAATAAAATTGGTGATTTGTTTGATGGTGTTATCTGTTTTTGCCCTAAGGATGCTTGTTGTAAAGGTCTTTGTATGATCCGTATCCCTGTGGAATATAATACCTTAAAGATGAATACCCTAATGGATAAGGCGGTTCTACTCTATGAATGTTTGTGGTTTGCATGCATTCTACCTGCATGAACAAATAGTCAGCAACAATTTAAACTATGTTTTGTACAGAATATAAATTAATGCAGGTCTATAATATAATCAGTATAAAATCGTGACTCGTATCCGGATACATATAAATAGACTCTATAAAATGATTAATTCCGGTTAATTCTGAAAAATCCTCTAAGAATGAAAAGGGACTTCTATTTCCGTCTGGAGGTAGTATATTACGAAAAATTGGCCCTGCGGGGCTTACTCGCTACGCTCATGGATGGCTCGCATCGCTCGCGAGGGACGCGTGGCAGTGCTTTCTCGAATGACCTTTTCACCGCAGACTCACTCAAACTTCCCATGCCTTGATCGTGCGTTCAATCATCTTCATTCTCTTCTCTGCCGTAGACTTCACCGGCTTCTGCTGTAGCCACAAAGCATGAAGCTTGGCCTTCAGTGGCCCCATCAAGCCAACGTCAAGAGGTTGGCATACGCTGTTTGTGTTTGGCGGCAGCGGCTCCAAGAAACCATACAGCTCTTCATCGACAGTGCGCCGCGACGTGTAGGAGACATGAGCAGCGAGGTTGTCTACCAGCAGGACTGACGGGCCAACCAGCTCATACTTCAACAGCTCCTTGAGGTAATACACCCACACACTCGCATCCATCCAACCTGTTTCTTGAACCGCGTATACGTGTCCATCAGGACACGTTGACTTCATCAGTCTCGATCGGCCACCGGGTCGGCCACGCACGATAAATAGTATTGGCAGCGTCGTCCCTACGTCACATGTAAGCCGCATGCACCATACCGCACCATCAGCGCAGGCTCCAAGCACGGCCGTGAGGTGGTCGGAGTGCTTCTCGGTCGAATCCACTTTCGCGTCTTCGCCAATTTCACACCACGTACGTCGAGTTGGCATGTCATAGTACACTGCTGTTTCATCCATATTGACAATGTCTAGTAGGGGCTTCTCATGGTGCTCCTCCCAGAAGGTCGCCGCAAACGCAATCTTTTGCTCTTCCAACTGAGTTCGTTTCAGCTTGGAATAACATGGTACACGCTGCTCAAAGCCATTGCAGTGGGCAAAGCGTTGACACAATCCATCGTACCCGGTTCCACTAGCGGCTTTCCGTTGGAGTTACGTCTCGACCCAGGATTGCTGATGGGTCTTGATCCATGTGACCATATGAGCAGTGGTCAAGAGGTGGCTGTCGGCTCGAACGGCCTTCATGAAGGCCAACAAGTCGTTGGCGAATTGCATGGCGACAGGTTTCCCTTGACCACCAAGCGTCAAGCACCGTTTGTTGCGTTCGGAGGTGAGGTATGCGTCCTTCTTACTCAGCCATGTCAGCCAAGTTGTGCGTGGAATACCTTCTAGTGCAGAAATAGCCTTATCCGCGAGATATGTATTCCCATAGGCCATGAGTAGCTTGATGCGCATGTCGAGGTTGTACCGCCTTTGGACTCGCTGGGGAAGCAGTGGGGCAGGCATTTCAAAGTTTGAACGTTTCGGTGTTTCCAAGGCGGACCAATCACAGACCTTAAATTGAATTCAAGTCACTAATCCAATCAAGTTATGATGTGCTTTTTTGCATTTTATTCGTTGTCATGTGGATTGCATATTTTGTTATTCGGGTGCAACTGTGTCGAGTTCGTTCCCAGTTCACTGTGCTGATAGCGTGTTTTACTGCTATACCGAAGCAACATACCTTGAACCCCAGTTGTTGACAGACCATATGTCCTCGGTGGTCGGCGCCGCTGGGGCCTTGCTCTTGGCCGATGGCATTGCTGTGTAAATTCTGAAACTGTGTCCGGATACTCGATTTCGTAAAACCTTTATATCTCTGGATATAATTTTGGCATACAAATATCAAATCAAAATATGTCCACTATCTGGGTTTACGAAATTTCGTGTTTCGTTTCTCCAATTGTGCACTGTATCCGGCACATTTATTTTGTAAAACATATATATTTGGAAGCAAATATAGCTAACAAAGTTGATCAACTTGGATGTTAACGTTATATTTGAGACAGCCACTTCTGTCAGAAATCGGCCATTTTGCCATGAAATTGATTAAAAAGGTCTAGATCAACCCTACTACCGGTAGTAGGGTCAATACTTGTCATTAGTAATCGTTCCAACAATGCATCGACTACCAATTCTTTACGATGTTGTCTACTACGTAGTACTTTACAGTCATGAACTAATCCCCAACGATCTCGTCGCAGGCAAATGGCATACGATTAGCTTGAATTATGGTGAAGTCGCTTCATTCCAATTGCCCCCACTTGCCGCTGTTCTCAGGTTAATTCTCAATTTCCTCCATCATTCCAAACTGAAATCAACGTCGAATGGATGTCGTACACAGGCGTCCTATTTCGCAGCCAGGGCTGCTTTCTTGGACTTCAAGCGCTTACGCAGCCAATTCCAAGCCGCCACATGATACGGCTCGCCATACGCCCACAAATCAACTGAGACAACACCAAAAACATATTAGTCCAGACAAAACAGAGTTGCAACTCACAAGTACGCTGGTGATCGTCCGGTGATTGAGTATGCACAAAGACGTGGATGTCGTCATCTTCAATAGCTTCAGTGTCCGGGAAGCCGATGGCGGGGTCTGAAATTTCAGTCGAGGCGTGCATAGCCCCGTGCTTTTGCATCATGGCTCGGATGCCATTCGATTGGCCACGTCGCATGAACTCCTGGGCATCAGGGTCCCCCGACTTGAGCCACTTGCCGTTTCGTTTCATCAGGTATACATCCATCCAAAACGATTGCAATGGTTGCTGTTCCTTGACCTTTGCCATGAGGAAACCCACGGTCAGACTCTCATTTAGGTCTATACGACATATTTTGCCTTTGACCAGACACACGACTGTCTTCATTGTTCGTTGGTGCCTTCGTAAGAGCGGAAGTTTTGACAAATGAGTATTTCTGCGATGTGTAGTAATTTCACTTGCCATAGTTCTACAGATTTCATCGCCAACTGCTATTCTTTTTCTCGACCAGCACAACATTGTTCATGTTCGCGGTCTAAGACTGTCACTTGACAAGGTCAGTAACCATCCGCTAGTGACGCCGAAGGGTAGGGTCGCAAACAACGGTCGAAATAGATTGGTGGGTTCTGAACTGCAGCACGATCATGATGAATCCAACGCAGATTGAATCATCGCTTTCAATCTGAAGTGCAATCGGCGTATATACTGTATCGAGTCATCTTCATGTTGC